CGCTTCGGCGGCGGCGATCGTCCTCGGCAGCGAGGCGGACGGCGTCTCGCCCGCTTGGGACGCCGGGGCGACGGCCATCGCCCTGCCGATGCGGGGCGTCGCCGACAGTCTGAACGTGTCGGCCGCGGCCGCGGTGCTTCTGTACGAAGCGCGTCGGCAACGCGATCGTTAAAGACGATCCGGGCGCTGACGCTTCCGGCTAGCCGGAAGCGTCAGCGCCCGGATCGAGCCGCGAGGCGACTACTTGCGAGCTTCGGCGACCGCCTCGTCGATGCGGCGGATGTTGGCCCAGTCGTCCTTGTAGTTGACCGCGGCGAAGGCGCCGTCGCCGGTCAGGTCGTACTTCGCCGCGACGCTGGTGTCGGGCCAAGCGAACCCGAGCAGCGTGTCGGCGATCTGCTGCCGCACCGCCGGCGCGAGGTTGTGGGCGTAGCCGATCGTCACCGGCGGGAACCGTTCCGACTCGTAGAGCACCTTGTAGTCCGACTCCGCGACTTCGCCCTCGCTGACCATCCGCTCGAGGATGTCGCTCGCGACGGGGGCGACGTGATGTTCCTTCGCGACGAGCTCCTTGACGGACGTGTCGTGGCCGAAGGTGAAGCCCCATTCGTAGTCCCGCTCGGGCAACAGGTCCGCCTCGCCCATCAGGTAGACGAGCGCCGCCTTGAAGCCCGAGTTCGAGTCGGGCTGCACGAAGGCGACCCGCTTCTTGGGCGACTTGCCTTCCTTGACCGCGGCGGGCCGGAAGTCGGCCAGGTCATCGACGCCGCTCGAAGCGAACGTCAGCAGCTTCATCGTGTACCCGTAGGAACCGTCCGTCTTGCCGAGCGTGCAGACCGGCTGAAATCCGGACGCGGTGACCGCCGTCGGGATCGCCCCGGTGTTGAGGCCGACGATGTGCAGTTCGCCCTTCGCCATCGCGGTGAGCTGGTCGGCGACGGACGGGTAGTGGACGTATTCGACCGAGACGCCGGTCGCTTCGGAGAGGGCCGTCATCACGTCGGCCCAGGTCTCCGGCTCGTCGGCGACTTCGCGGCCGCCGACGAAGGAGAAGACGAGCTTCTCCGGCGTCACGCACGCGTCGTCGGCCGGCGCGTCGCAGACCAGGTCGCCGTCTTCGTCGACGAAGTCGATCGTCTCGGTCGGCGGCTTCATGTTCTCGCCGAGCAGCTTGTCGAGCATGTTCGCTTCGAGCTGCTCTTGGGCCGCCTTCTCGTAGCTCGGCAGCGTGTACCGCACCGCGAGGGCGACCGCCAACACCGGCAGGAGGACCTTCAGCAGGCGGCCGAGAGAAAAGGAATCAGCGGACTCGCTCATAGTCGATCGACTTCTACTCGACGGGTTGGGCAGGCTTCCGGGAGCGCGAAACGGCCCACCGGCTGCCGTAGGATAACCCCCCCCCACAAGCGTGCAACGTTCCCAAGGGCCCGCCGCACTCCGCGAAAACGCTGGAAGACTAGGCGTGTGCGCTCTGCCGGGCGGCGTCCAGCGTGTTGTGCAGCAGCATCGCCACGGTCATCGGGCCGACGCCGCCGGGGACCGGCGTGATCCAGCCGGCGACTTCGGCGGCCGGCTCGTAGTCGACGTCGCCAACCAGGCCGCCCCCCTCCGCTTCGGAGAGGCGGTTGATGCCGACGTCGATCACCGCCGCGCCGGGCTTGATCCAGTCGCCCCCGACAAACCGCGGTCTGCCGACCGCGGCGACAAGGATGTCGGCGCTACGACAGACCTCTTGAAGGTCCGCCGTGCGGCTGTGCGCGAGCGTCACCGTGGCGTCCCAGCCGCGTTGAGCCAGCAGCACGGCCATCGGCTTGCCGACGATGTCGCTGCGACCGATCACCACCGCGTGCTTGCCGGCGGTCTCCACGCCGCTCCGCCGCAGCATCTGCAGGACGCCGTGCGGCGTGCAGGGCAGGAACCGCGGCTGGCCCTGCACCATCAGGCCGACGTTCTCCGGGTGAAACGCGTCGACGTCTTTCGCCGGGTCGATCGCGCGGAGCACGCGTTCCTCGGCGATCTGCTCGGGCAGCGGGAGCTGCACGAGGATGCCGTGCACGGCGGCGTCGGCGTTGAGCTCGTCGACCACGCCGAGCAGGTCGGCCTCGCTCGTCTCGGCCGGCAAGCGGACCAGCCGGCTGTCGATGCCGGCCTTCTCGCACGAGCGCTGCTTGTTGCGGACGTAGACCTGGCTCGCGGGGTTCTCGCCCACGAGCACGGCCGCGAGGCAGGGCGTCGGGCCGCCCGCCGCCATGAACTCGGCCACGCCCTCGGCGACCTCCGCGCGGATGTCCGCGGCGAGCTGCTTGCCGTCGATGATCTTCGCCATGCGTCGTCCTTTGCTATGAGCGATGTACTTCCTGCTTGTGCCTCAGCCGCCGCCGGGAGGCGGCGGTCGGCGACGGTTCGGACCATCGGCTGCCGCCGACGGCTAGGAGCCGAAGGCGCGCCACAGCACCAAGTACGCGACGCCCGCGTAGCCGGCGGCGGCGACGTCGTCCGCCATCACGCCCCAGCCGGCAGGCAACCGCTCGAGCCGTCGGCAGGGCCAAGGCTTCGTGATATCGAACAGGCGGTGCAGCGCGAAGCCGACGGCCAGCCACGTCGCGCAGTAACACGACCCCGGCGCGAACGCGTAGACGATCGGGACGGTCGTGAACTCGTCCCACGTGATCGCCTGTGGGTCCTTCGCGTCCTCGGCCAGCCCGAGCCGCACGAGGTCGCTGGCCGCCCGGGTGCAGAGCGGCCCGCCCACCAGCACCAGCGCGGCGATCGCCCCGAGCTGCCAGCCGTAGCTGGGCAGCTGCACGATCGCCAACCAGAGCGGCACGCCCCAGATCGCCCCGACGGTGCCCGGCGCCGGCGTGTCGAGGCTCACCCCCATGCCGGTGGCGAGCCAAATCGCGGGGGTCAGGCGGGGTCGGGAACGCGTCATCGGGGGACATGGTAACCGGTTCTGTCGCTCCCTGACGGCCCCGTCCCGGCGGGACGCGCGACTCGGAACCAGGACCGTCGACGAGCGTCAAATCGCTGGATTCGCCGCTCGTCCGCTGCGTCGCGATGCCGCAGCCCAGTCCGTGTGGCCCGCGAACCGGACGACCGATATGCTTCAAGGCTGCCAGCAAACCTTACCTATCCGACCCGGATGTCGATGAGCGATACCGCCCCCCCCGCCGAAGACGCCCCGAAGCTCTCGCCCGTCGAGGGTTTCAAGGACGCCAGCAACTACCTCCTCGGGCCGATCCCCGAGGAGCTCGCCAACGACCAGCCGAACTTCACCGGCGAGGCTATGCAGCTGCTGAAGCACCACGGCAGCTACGAGCAGGACGACCGCGACCTCCGCAAGCAGGCCAAAGCGGAGAAGGTGCCGGGCGGCAAGTACTACTCGGTGATGGTTCGGACGGTCGTCCCCGGCGGGAAGATGTCCAGCGAGCAGCTCCTGGCTCAGCTCGACCTAGGCGACGAGGTCGGCAACGGCACCGTGCGTCTCACGACGCGCCAGGCGATCCAGGTCCACGGCATCCTCAAGTCGAACCTCCGCCGCTACATCAGCCGCGTCAACGAGATCGGCCAGACGACGCTCGCCGCGTGCGGCGACGTCTGCCGCAACGTGATGTGCTCGCCGATCCCGAAGAAGGACGGCGTCTACACCGAGATGCAGGACCTGACCGACCGGCTGAAGGTCCATTTCGCCCCGCAGACCGGCGCGTACAACGAGCTGTGGGTCACCGACAGCGAGACCGGCGAGAAGACGCTCGCCACGAGCAACGGCATCAAAACCTCTGGCATCAAAGACGGCGACGAGGTCGAGCCGATCTACGGCAAGACCTACCTGCCGCGCAAGTTCAAGCTGGGCGTCGGCCTGCCGGGCGACAACAACGCGGACGTCTACACGCAGGACATCGGCTTCCTGGCGATCACGGAAGGCTCCAACGGTGACGCGAAGATCGCTGGCTACAATCTGATCGTCGGCGGCGGCTTCGGCCGCACGCCCAGCGCCGCGAAGACCTTCCCCGCGGTCGGCAAGCCGCTCTGCTACTGCCCGGTCGGAGAGGAAGTCTCCGCCGCCGAGGCGGTCATGAAGGTGCAGCGCGACTTCGGCAACCGCTCCGACCGCAAGGTCGCGCGGATGAAGTACCTCGTCGCCGACTGGGGGATCGAACGCTTCAAGTCGAAGGTCGAGGAATACGCCGGCCGCGAACTCGAGCCGCCCAAAGACGCGCCGGTCACCGACCAGGACGACGGCATGGGCTGGCACGAGCAAGGCGACGGCCGCTGGTACTACGGCCTGAACATCGAGAACGGCCGCATCAAGGACGACGGCGACTTCCGCCTGAAGACCGCGTTGCGGGCGATCGGCACGCAACTCGCGCCGCCGCTGCGGATCACCGGCCACCAGGGCCTGATCTTCTGCGACATCGAGCCGGCCGACCGCGACAAGCTGACGTCGCTGCTGACCGACCACGGCGTGCCGCTCACCGAGACGGTCTCCACCGTCCGCCGCTGGAGCATGGCTTGCCCCGCGATGCCGACTTGCGGCCTGGCGATCACCGAAAGCGAACGCGCCCTCCCCGGCATGATCGACCAGATCGAGCAGGAGCTAACCAAGCTCGGCCTCCAGGAGGAGAAGTTCACGATCCGCATGACCGGCTGCCCAAACGGCTGCGCCCGCCCGTACAACGCCGACGTCGGCCTGGTGGGCCGGGCGAAGGAGAAGTACACGATGTTCCTCGGCGGCAGCCGCCTGGGGCATCGCCTGAACTGGATCTACAAGGACATGGTCCCGGCGGCCGACGTGCCGACCGAACTGGCGAAGGTGCTGACGCACTTCAAAGCCGAGCGCACCGACGGCGAAACCCTCGGCGACTTCTGCGACCGGACGGGCAAAGAAGCGCTGCTGGCGGCTTGCGGGGAGTAGGACGCGGACGCGTGCGGATAGATCGTACCGACCGTTGATCGTACGCTCGCGTCTAACCTTGCTGTCGTCGGAGAATCATACGTCGATGCAGGACGCCGCTGGTTCTTATGTCCTGCTTTGCACCCGTGACGAGCATGTCTCGACACGCTCTATCTCGCGCGTGCTGGGGTTCTCCCTGTCAATCATTGGCGTGCTATGTCTGATCTCGCTGGTCTGCATACCAGCCCATCCCGGGAATCATGACACGCTCACAATGATCGGGGTTACCGGAGCATTCCTGTGCTTCTTCGGACCCATCATGTCCATCGACTCGATGGTCTACGAGAAAGCGATTAGCCCAGGGCTGATTCGCTTGAAGAGTGTGATACACGTCGCCAGCCTGCCAATAGCACCAGTCCGTTGGTTTGACGTCGACGCCTTGGAATCACGCCTGGTGTTGAAAGAGCACATCTACTACCGCGATGCCGGCCTTAACGGGTGCGGCGAGCGGGCCGTCCTAATCTCGATCTTTGTGCTAAGAGGGCGACACGATTTTCTGCTGTGTCGTCATCTAGGCATTGACGGCCCCGAGACTCGGAGGCGTGCCAACGCTCACGCGGATGAGTTGGCAGAGCATCTCGGCGTCAAGGTGTCGCATCCGCGTCACCCGTGACGCTCTCACCGCGTAGCAGCAGCTCGCCGGGGCGGACGTCGACGCCCGTCAGGCGTAGCGAGCGGTGGCGGCCGGTGTTGATCCGCTCCAGGTCCACCACGACCGCCGTCTGCGACTCGTTCTGCGACCAGCGGATCGGCGCGACCTCTTCCAGAGGCGTCTCACGCAACTGGGCGATCAACGCGTCGAGCGGCAACGAGAGCCGGCCGATCTTCGCCGAGAGGATGTCGAGCAACAGCTCCCCCTCGTCGGTGATCGTCGGCCGCACCGTCAGCGAGACGATCCCCTCGATGCGGCTGAGCTTGCTGCGGGCGGCGATCGTCGCCTCGCCCTCCTTGAGCATCACCCGCGGCGCCAACAGGCCCGACTTGAGGAAGCCCGGAAAGTCACGCCGCAGGCGGATCATCAGCCAGCCGTTGATCTGCCGTTCGGTGAGTCGGCTGCTCCACTCGGGGAGCGTCTGCGTGTCGCTGTAGAGGGCCGAGAGCTGGCTCTCCAGGGCCTGGCGTTCTTCCTCGGCCTCCGCCGGATCCGCCTGGACGATCGCCTCGTACTCCGGCACGGGCGCGGTCGCCGCCCAGTAAAGCGAGGCCGCCGTCCCCGCCGCGACGCACGCCAGGACGCCGAGCGCCCCGAGGATGATCAACGCCAGCCGGCGAAACCCGCTGACGGCCTGCCGGGCGCGGGCTTCGGCCTCGTCGAGGTCGTCGACGGCCTCGGCGGGGGTTTCGTCGGCGGTTGGCTGCGAGGAGTCCATCGGCGGGCCGAATCGTAGGAGTCCGGGGTAGGCGGGTCAAACTCGACGCCCGGCCCGGGTTCGAATGAGACGCATCTTGGCGGCCCGGCGCTCCGTCGGGACAATCGCGGATTCGACTAACCCCGAGAATGCCGATGTCTGCCGAAGCCCAACCCGCCACCCACGAAGCCGATGCGACCGACCCCCTCGTAGCGCGTCGTGAGAAACTCCGGGCGATCGCCGAGACGGGCGTCGATCCGTGGGGCCAGCGCCTCGACGGCCACACGCCGATCGGCGACGTCCGCGCCCGGGCCAAGGAGGTCGTCTACCGCTACGCCGATGGGGCGGAAGTCGCGCTGCCCGACTTCGCCAGCCAGCCGGAAGACTTCAACTTCCGGCAGTGGAAGGCGGACCAAGACGCCGAGCACGGCGGTGAGCGGGGCGAGATCGTCGGGCCCACCTTCACCGTCGCCGGCCGCGTCGTGCTGAGCCGCTCGGCCGGGAAGCTCGTCTTCATGAGCCTCCGCGACCAGACCGGCGACTTGCAACTCATGGTCGGCAAGAAGCAGGTCGGCGACGACTGGGAACTGGTCGACCGCCTCGACCTGGGCGACCTGATCGCCTGCGAGGGGACGCTCGTCTACACGAACACCGGCGAGCTGACGATCGCCGCGACGGGGATCACCTTCCTCGCTAAGAGCCTCGAACCGCCGCCCGAGAAGCACCACGGCCTGACCGACCCCGAGCAGCGGCAGCGGATGCGGTACGTCGACCTGGCGTACAACGACGGCGTCATGCCGCGTTTCCTCGCGCGCAGCGCGATCGTCCGGAGCGTGCGTGACTCGCTGGCGAAACGGCGATACGTCGAGGTCGAGGGGCCGACGCTCCACTCGATCGCCGGCGGCGCCGCGGCGCGGCCGTTCACGACGCACCACAACGCGCTCGACATCGACCTCTACCTGCGGATCGCGCTGGAGCTGCATCTCAAGCGGCTCTTGGTCGGCGGCGTCGAGCGGGTGTTCGAACTCGGCCGCGTCTACCGCAACGAGGGGATCTCGCCGAAGCACAACCCCGAGTTCACGATGCTCGAGGCGTACCAGGCGTACGGCGACTACCGCACGATGATGGACCTCACGGAGGGGATCGTTGTCGAAGCAATCGACGCGATGTCCGAAAGCGGAGGGCGGAAAGCGGACAGCGGATACGTGCTGCCTTGGGACGACGACTCGATCGATTTCACGCCGCCGTTCGCTCGCAAGACTTACGACGAGTTGTTCGAAAAACACGCCGGCGTCGACCCGGCGGACACCGGCGCCGTGGCCGACCTCGCCAAGCGGATCGGCTTCGACCTGGTCGACGAGTCGGGCGCCGAGCGGCATCCGGACGTCGTCAAGAACGAGGTGTTTGAGGAGAAGGTCGAAGACGCCCTGGAGGGGCCGATCTTCGTGATCGACTACCCGGCGAGCATCTGCCCGCTCACGAAGCGCAAGCGAGACAACCCGGCGGTCGCCGAGCGGTTCGAGCTGTTCGTCAAAGGGATGGAGATCGCCAACGCCTACACGGAGCTGAACGACCCCGACCTGCAGGAGGAGCTGTTCAAGAGCCAGCTCGCGGGCCTCAGCGAAGAGGACTCGATGGCGAAGATGGACGACGACTTCATCCGCGCCCTGCGGCACGGCATGCCCCCGGCGGGCGGTCTGGGGATCGGCATCGACCGCCTCGTGATGCTGCTCACGAACAGCCAGACGATCCGCGACGTGATCCTCTTCCCGCTGCTGCGGCCCGAACGGTGAGCGGGGAAAGGTCGCAACGGCTAGAAGATTGGTTTAGCATCCAGGCGCCACGAACGCCGAGGAGTCTGCGATGCGAAGACGATGCGTTAGTCTCGCCACGCTTGTGACTGCCGCGTCAGCGGTATGTGCCTTGCCGTGTCACGCGGTCGTGATCGACGACTTCAGCCAGGGACCTCTCCTGCTGCGGTCGTACGATCGGCCGACGTACGACACGGCACAAACGTCCCTCAATCCCGATCGGACGGCTGGTGGCAGTCGTCACTGGACCCGCTTCTACCACAACATCGGGTCGGCAGAGCCGACGCTCGACTCGTACAGCCAGATCCTGGTCGATCCAACGGACGAGGTGTTCGAGTTTCGTTCGATCGACGAGCCCGGCGCAATTCGCGGTTACTTCAACCTCACCTACGGCAGCGACGAAGAACCACTTGGGCTCGACCTGACGGAGGACGACGCCGACCGCCTACGCTTGCGTTTCCAAGGCGAGCTCTCTAGCCCCTGGATGCAAGTGAGTGTTGTCACCGGGCGAACCGACGGCGAGGGCTCCGGGTCGTTCGGGTGGTCGTTGCTCTCGCCCCGGCAAGTCGTGGGCGCCGACCCGATCTTCGACCTGCCTTTCCCACAAGACCGCCCGGAGCTGGACTTCGCGAACGTCAGCTCGATCACGCTCAGCGTGTTCCGCTACTTCGCGGGAGACTACTTTCGCCTCGACACGATTGAAACCACCACCGCTCCAGTCGCAGGCGACTTTGATCGCAACGGGGTCGTGGACCAACAAGACTACGAGCACTGGGCCGCGAACTACCCGTTGCTCCGCGCCTCGTTTCCCGACGGCGAGTTAGTCCCGACGTTCGGCGGGCGTTTCCTGACCACGGACGGGAACAACGATGGCGACCTGAACGCAGCCGATTACTCGGTGTGGCGAGACGCCTACGACGCGCTCGGCGCCGCCCCGGCGCCCGAGCCGGCCGGCCTCGTCGTGGCGTTGACAGCGGCGGCCTTGGGGCCAAGCCTGGGGAGACGGCGGCGCTGAGCAGCCCGCCCGTACAACAGCCCCCGGACGGATCAAGGAGTGACCCCGTGGAACGAACCGACAACGCTGTCACGGCCGAGGACCTCGGCAAGCTCGTGCTGCGAGTCGCCCTTGGCGGGCTGATGCTGTTTCACGGCGTCGCCAAGCTGCAGTCCGGCATCGGCGGCATCGAGGAGATGCTCGTCGCCAAGGGCCTGCCCGCGGCGATGGCCTACGGCGTCTACGTCGGCGAGGTGCTGGCGCCGCTACTGATCGTGTTCGGCTTGTTCACGCGTCTCGCGGCCGTGGTCTTCGCGTTCAACATGGTCGTGGCGACGCTGCTGGTGCACGCGGGCGACCTCCTGAAGGTCGGCGAGCACGGCGGCTGGGCCGTCGAGCTGCAGGCGCTCTACCTGCTGCCGGCTGTGGCGTTGGTGCTGCTCGGCCCCGGGCGGGTCTCGCTCGACGCGAAGCTGCTGGGCAAGAAGCGGCCGGCGGAAGACGCGGCGGGCGGCTGATCTGGCGGCGCCCGCGAGGCGGCTGGTAGGGTCCGCGGCTCCCGCAATCGCCCACCCCGTCGCTAGCACCCATGTACAAGCTCGTCCTCGCCCTGCGATACCTGCGCACGCGGTGGATCGCGCTGGCGTCGATCGTCAGCGTGACGCTCGGCGTCGCGACGATGATCGTCGTCAACGCCGTCATGGCCGGCTTCACGCACGAGATGCAGGACCGCATCCACGGCGTGTTGAGCGACGTCGTCTTCGAGTCGCGCAGCCTCGACGGCGTGCCCGACGCGACGGCTCACATGCGCAAGATCGAAGCGGCCGCCGGCGAGCTGATCGAGGGGATGAGCCCCACGGCCCAAGTCCCCGCGATGCTCGGCTTCACCTACAACGGGCAGCGCATCAACCGCCAAGTGATGCTGATCGGCATCGAGCCCGAGTCGTACGGCGAGGTCAGCGACTTCGGCCGCTACCTGCAGCACCCGGCCAACCGGGCGCAGCTCGACTTCAACCTCCGCGAAGACGGCTACGACGCCGCCGACCCGCAAGCCGAAGACCCCGCCAAGGCCGCCCCGCGGCCGATGATGGCCGTCGCCGGCTGGGCTCACCGCCGCCGCAAGGCGTTCTGGGAAGAACGGAACAAGGCGATGCTGACAGCGGAAAGCGGAGAGCGGAAAGCGGAGAACGCGGACGCGGACCCACAGGAGTCTTCGATCCCGAGTCCCCAATCCGCAATCGCCTCCGATCCGTTCGCGCAAGCCGAAGGGGACAAGGCCGGCAAGACGTTCGACCCCGCGACCGAGACCCATCCCGGCGTCGTGATGGGCATGGCGCTCGGGAGCTTTCGAGACGCCGAGGGCGTCGACCAGTTCCTCGTACTGCCGGGCGACGATGTCGAGGTGACGTACCCGATGTCGACGCAGCCGCCGAAGCCCGGGTCGGCGTTCTTCACGGTCGTCGACTTCTACGAGTCGAAGATGAGCGAGTACGACGCGTCGTTCGTTTTCGTGCCGCTGCGGACGCTGCAAGAGCTCCGCGGGATGGTCGACCCGACCACCGGCGTGGCGAACTTCAACTCGATCCAGATCCACTGCAAGCCGGGCGTCGACCTCGACGAGGTCCGCGACCGCCTGCAGGCAGTCTTCCCCGCGCACGCCTACGTCGTCAGCACGTGGAAAGACAAGCAGGGCGCCCTGCTGGCGGCGGTTCAGATGGAGACCGCCGTCTTGAACGTGCTGCTCTTCCTGATCATCGCCGTGGCCGGGTTCGGCATCTTGGCAATCTTCTACATGATCGTCGTCGAGAAGACTCGCGACATCGGTATTTTGAAGAGCCTCGGCGCCTCGGGCGGCGGCGTGATGGGCATCTTCCTCGGCTACGGCCTGACGCTGGGCGTTGTCGGCGCTGGCGCCGGCATGGTCGGCGGGCTGTTGTTCGTCGCCTACATCAACGAGATCGCCGACGTCCTCGCCTGGGTCACCGGCCAGCCGGTCTTCGACCCGGCCGTCTACTACTTCTCCGCGATCCCCGCGATCGTCCACCCGCAAACCGTCGCGTGGATTGTGTTCGGAGCGCTGCTCATCGCGGTGCTCGCGAGCGTCCTGCCGGCCCGCCGCGCGGCGGCCCTCCACCCGGTAGAAGCCCTCCGCTGGGAATAGAAGCGAATACGATTCGACGTCTCGTCTCGGGACCGAATCCTAGGAGCGTGCCTTGAGCGAACCGACTGCCTTC